ATGCCGCAAGTTGTATTCTTTGTGATTTGCCATGATAAGGTGGTATGTCATTATTCTTATGAATTAATTTGTTGATTCCGTTGACATTTAGCTCATTCTTTGTAATTACGTCATATATCTTGCATCAGTACTTTCGGGTATACATAGTTTCCCAATGAAATTTTTTTTTTTTCATAATATTGTCTTATTAAAGTTCATCTTAAAGTTAACCGCAAGAGTGAGTTAAACTGTTCAATTTTATGGATAAAATGATTATTAATTTTAATAATTTTCCTACCATTAGTTCAATTATTTAATCATACATTCATATAATATGAACTATGAACATGATACACAGGGCCGTCTTAGGCTTTGCAGGGCCCATGGGCTTAAGGCACCCTTTTGGCAGGCCTCCAAAAAAAGTCAAATAAAACCACCAAAAGCTTAACCTAACCTAACCTATTATGTTAAAATATCTTAAATCGTCAATATCATCCTAATGACCTAATCAAATAATTGTATAAATATCCTAATAATGCAGGGAATGTAGAAACTGATATGTGCTGTTCATTGTATAGAAATACACGTTTAACTCATGAAAAAATAAATAAAAGATATCTATAAATAAGTACCATGAATCTAATTGCACATAATCAAGCATCATTTAAATAACATTTTAACATTACCATTCACCTATTTTTTGTTTTACTTTTATTTCCAATCATGTCTATTACTTTCAAGATTATTATTTTAATCACAGTTAATTTCCAGTCTTGTCTCTTGTAAAGTAAACTTAAATTAAAGTATTCAAATAATTTTTAGATTTTAAGTTCTCAAACAAATATTTAATAAATACTATTTGAAAAAGTAATTGAAAAATGTTTTTATATACCTATATATTTATATATTTTTTTTATTTATCATTAAAATTTAAAAATACAAAACACATTTATTAGAGATGAGACAAAATAATATCAAAATATTTAAATAAATGTAGGTACCATCATGGTATTATTAATATAACCAATTCTCGAAACTAAAAAAAAAATGTTAAAAATCATATGACATTTATGAAAATGCAATATTGCGAAATATCAACATTTTTAGAAAATTTAACTCTACGAAAGCGCTATCTAAATTTTTGAAATTTTTGAATTTTTTTTTAACTTTAAACCAACACTTTAAACATGATAAAAAAAAGGAAAAAAAATAGTGGTCATTGACCACGTAAGTCTTAAAAGTAAAACAGAATTATAAATATTTTCATTTTTCAGAAGATAATGTCATTATCACTATCACAGAATATTCCGTTGTATCATCTATATAATAAATTATATAATATATAATATTATATTATATATAGTGTAGGCATGGTCATTGGTGGGGAACGGGCAAAGGCGGATTTATCTTTTTTTTTACGGCTATAGGCCCAAAAATTTGCCGACCCTATAATAGATAAACAAGTTACAATACCCCCTCCAAATTACCTATTCTAAATATTAAAATATACCTATAGATAGAAGTATATAGAACTGACTTTAGTTCAAATTATTATTTTTTTTTTTGTTCATTAGGTGACCCTACATGTATAATACACTTTTTATGTTTATTTTGTAGTACTAAAAGTAAAATATTGTCCACAATCCGCATATTATTGTGGAGTTATGGTCAATTAAGGTTTTTCTATAATCTAAAAACCTAGTTCACAGCCGCGGCCCACGGGCCACAGGTGATTCAAATATTGTCGATTGTTGTTGGTCACAATGCCTTTTATCTTAATGCCCACGTTGTTTTCTTATCAACAATAATATTTACAATTATTTGAATAGTTAATAAATAAATAGTTAATACCTGTGATAACTCACTTATCAAGTATCAGTTATCATTATTAATTCTAAAAAGCTGCGTTCAACTTACTGTTCAAACCATTCAACAATATTGATTTTTATTGTTATTAATTGTCGGTTGAAAAAAAAAAATCTTTTTAGAATCTTTGTCATAGTTTCTTAAAAACACGAATGATTTTTTTAATCCAAGTATGAGAGTCATAGAATTTTTCAGTGGTATTGGTGGAATGCATTTTGCCCTGAAAGGTATAACTAGAGTTGTACTTAAAACAATGCTTGATAATGCTAGGTATTAGGTACTGTGTGTTGTAAATGACAATTTTTTTCAGAATGCAACTTGGAAAATTTTGAAGTTGTCCTAGCTGTAGATATAAATACTGTAGCAAATGCAGTGTACAGACATTTTTTTCCATCGACAAACCTCAGAGACTTAAACATTCTTTCACTTAGCCCTGAACAGTTTGATGCATACCGTCCAGATATATTGTTGATGAGCCCACCATGTCAACCTTTCACGAGGCAAGCTTTTTAACTTATTATTGTTAATACACATATAATTTCTTTTTGCGTTTTTATGTTTAGAAATGGCCTTGTCAAGGATATTAACGATGAAAGAACAAAGCCACTGCTGCACATTATTGAAAATTTAATTCCGAAATCGGAATCGCTTAAATATGTATTAGTGGAAAATGTTAAAGGATTTGAAAGTTCATTAGCTAGAGACAAATTAGTTACCGCTCTGAGTCAGTCGGGTTTTACATATAGAGAATTTCTTCTTAGTCCTGTACACTTTGGAATTTGCAATTCAAGATTGAGGTATTATTTATTAGCCAAGAAGAAACCATTAGATTTTGCAATATCCTTACAAAATGATATCGTAAGTTGCTTAGGAATCATCCTAACTAAATATATATTATATTATGTCGCACATTGCCTATCTTGTATTAATATTTGTAACTTTTGTCCATTTTTCTGTTGTTGAAGGAGATTAGTGAGATTACATTTACTGATCTTAAGTATTTTTTTTTAATCTAAAATCAGAAATGTCATCATAATAAGCTATTAAGTGTAAACTGAATATCTACATTTAAAAACATATCTCTAACTGAACGCTGGCAAATAAATTACACAATACTTACAGTTTGTTCTGCTTCTGCATTACTAATAATTTTGAAGCTCTTATGATTTTTCTTTTTTCATAGTTATATTAAAATATATATTTACCTATTAACTATTAGTTAAATTGTTATACATTAATATTCATAAATTCCTGTAGATAACCTTCTTGGGTTAGGTTAATATATGCATCTATTCTTAGATATGATCAGCTGTTACAACCGCAAACATTTTCTTTATATTTTAGTGTTGACCAACATATTATTGTAAGATTTCTTCATCCTTATAAATGTTTTAAATAATTGTGCACATTGCATTATTTTCATGTAGATTACAATTAACAATCTAGTTAAATATTTTTTACCCAAGATTTAGACTAGCTTATTTATTAGAGTTGGATTAAAAAAAATTAAATTAAATGTATTATTTAATAATTTTCATTTTAATCAATCAAACACGGTTCAATTTTAAATTTAAATCCATACAAAAGTATTTTGCATAATTTGAATAGCTGAAAATATTTAATCAATATCATACTTTATAATTTTTATTTTTTATTTTTTTTTGATATAGATAACTGAAAATAATTGGGACGATAAATTGTGCAGCCGTGTGAAACAAGTTTCAGATGTATTGAGTGAATCCGACACAGAATTAGAAGAATATTTAATTAATGACAAGCAATTATTGAAAGGCGGCAAAGCCTTAGACATTGTTACCAAAAACAGTAAAAGATCATGTTGTTTTACTCGTTCATACAGTTCATATTTATGTGGCACAGGTTCTGTGTTTTCCAGTCTATGCGAAGAAAATATCAAAGAAATTATCAATGATAATGACAATAATTTAGAAGTGCTGAAAAGTCTTAAATTAAGATTTTTTACACCAGCAGAGGTTGCAAAGTTTATGTGTTTTCCTGTATCAGACTTTCCAGTCAGCAAAAAAAAGGCATATCAACTTTTAGGAAACAGTATAAATGTTTATGTTGTTTCTCGATTATTATGTTTATTATTGCCTTAAAGCCTTTAACTATGTTGTACATAATTATTTTTATATAATATATTAATATGTTGGATGTAAACTAATTAGTTTTTCAAATATTTGCGGTAAATAAAATAAGATGTGGAACTCAATCCTGTTATTTCTTGCTATAAAATAATTTCTTAGATATTCTTATGATAAACAGTTCACAATGATGAGTGGTGTGGTGGGGCGTATACGCGTTGGGAACGCATTTATTCTATAAACCAATTTGATAAATAATTTTTAATTACTAAATGAAAATGTCGAAAAAAAACCTTATAGAATTGATGGTTTCCATAAGGAAAACAATTGCTTATCATGTTAGGTGTTTAAATAAATACCAAATTTAACAGTAGCGTTCAACATCTTCAATAGTGACTTCAAAGAAAGTAATATAGATTTTATTTTGTAATTTAATATTTTCCCATAACACTTTCTTATTTTAATTGTGTATTAATATATATTATTATTGAAACTTTTAAAATCTTATCTGATTATTTGATTAAAACTTAATATTACTTAATTATTTACCATGAGTCATAACTCATAAAAAATACGTAATCATAAAAAGCTAAAATGTATAATTAATTCATTTCTAGGAGTATGATAGGCAGGGAAGTAATATAGTGTAAAATTATGAATATAGAAATAATAACATCATAGTGTATAGAGGTTAGGTTACTTAGGTTAGGTAACTTTTACACATCAAGTTTATTTAAGCGTATACTCACTAAAAAAAATTACGGCTACATCACTGGCAATGACTATTAAATTTATGTACATGGGCATTGGAATACATTTTGAATTAGTCAAATAATTAAGTTTGAAATAATGAACATATTTATTCATCTTGATCATTGATGTCATTAGGGTAGGTTAGCGCAGTAATTTTTACATTGGTAGGTACTTACTTATTACAATGGTAAAAGTATGAGCCTAAATGAATGGGAACTTATTTTAAAACAAAAATACTCAATTGAAAATGGATAAACAAAAGTTTAATATATAATGTACATATATAAATAATGATATATGGTAATTTTTTAAAATTGTATTATTGGTGGATATGACTAAAGTTATTGAAGTGAATTTTATTTAAACTGAGTTTTTGTTATTACAAAAAAGAAGGAAAACTTTAAAACAATGTAAACAATATTTTTAGGTTTATATATTAGATTGCTACCTGTAAATCATGATAACTTTTATAACTGAAAGCATATGTTATAGTAGCATATTGAAAATGGCTGCCTAACATAATAGTAATTTTAATTCTTACATTACATATCAGTCCATAACATAAATTTCTTTATTTTCCGAGTGCTTTTTGTGTCTCGGCTGATTTTTGAATCTTAGCCATCTCTTTTTCTAGAAAAACATAAAACAAATAGTAATAATATTAAAATTGTATAATAAACATATACCCTAAGTTAGTAAATTAATTTAATATAATACACAATATAACTAATTAAATTGTTATACTCTGTCGACCAAGAGATTTTGCGCATTACCCTGTGTCACACCGTCATCAAAATTGGTTTACCTATGATAGAGTGCCATGTTAGGATGTGCTGAAAAACTGATTTTTAACAGTCCAAAGTATGTTATCTCACCAATTCAGAGTATGGGTACATAAAAGACTTATTTAATAAGAATATTAATAATAACTAAAGAAAAACTGACCTTTTTTCTCATCTTCTCTCTTTTTTGCTGCTTCTGCACGTTGTTGTTTAATGATAGCTAATCTAGCTAAATCAGCTCTTGCTTCATCTGTTTTACCTTCAGCTTGCAATTTTTGATAATGTAGTTTTTTTCGCTGTCTTTCAATTTCTTCTCTGTGAACAATATCATACATAAATTATGTAAAATAAATTCAAAAACAATAAAAATAAACTTATAAAACCTTTCACGTCTAGATAATTGGGCTGGTTCTGCTGTGTCTAAGGTTTCATTAAGTGTAGCTAATTTCTTTGCTTTTAACTGTCTCCTATTTGGATTCTCAATTTGAATCAGGCCAGCAACGCCTTTTTTATTCTGGCCAAAACAAAAAATTTAAATTTCCAATGCTTAACCACACCTATTATAATAAAAAATTATAATTACATCGTCGGATTCTTCTTCTGATTCGCTTTCACTTTCTGATTCGTCCTCACTATTGCTCTTGTCTCCTTTAGTCGCTGGTTTTTCTTCTTCCTCGCTCGATGATTCGTCATCGCCTCTGTTATTTTTCTTCCACCTTCTTTCCTGTTCTTCGCGTTTCCTCTGTTCTTCTAGTTCTTCGGGATTCGTAAACCTGCGACTCCTTCCTTTGTGGTTAGTCCATTTTCCTGCAGAGGCGGAAGAACAAAATATGATATTCGAAAAAAAAAAACAAAAAAACTCATTGTCTCTAGATCGACATGAAACAAAAGAATCTCAATGCGAACGTGCGTTCGAAGAAACTATAAACACAGTTGTCATACCTCTTGGCATTTTAGAAACTTGAGACTTTCGTAGGCAACAAAGAAATTTATAACGATCTAGTAACGATTATCAAACACAAAATACACAACTAGGCAGCAGACAGCAGTAGGCAGGATCTATTTTCGAATTTTGGATTTCAAAATAGTTCTGACTTACTTCTGTGGGACGGAGACGACACTGTCTGTATCAAATAATTATTTATCAAAATATTGACGTCGATGATAAAATGCACTGTTCTACGGCGCTGCATTTTATATATATTTATATTGTTAATGCATCAGTCTCGCCGCCGTCGTCTTGGAAGAAATCGGACGTGTCAAAGAGGTTGTATAAGCACGGAGGTGGCGCGATAGTGCGATATCGTTGCCACGGCATTCGAGTGTTTGGCGCATAACGCGCTGACAAACAATTCAATTTCCATTAAAGTTATTATAATTTTACAATTATTATTATTGTTGTGTGGGCGAAACCGTTCGCGCGTTATTGACAAAATAATATTAGCACCGGCCAGGTTAGGTCAAGTCGTTTTCTGCCAAAAGGGCTCGTAAATTTTGTTATACATCGCGCGTGTGCTTGACCGCGACTAGACGACGACAAGAGAGATAATATTCAAAATACGCGCGCGTTTATCTAAAAAAACTAAAATATTACATAATATTTTGTGCGGCCGTGCTTACCATTTAGCGTTGGAAGTGTTGGAACACCGATTTCCCGTAACATGTACGTTTTGGTATTGAATATTTGCACGATATTAAAATATAAACAACTACCTAATAATGTATAATATTGTAGTCCTTTTTAAAATAATGATACGACTTTTGGCGCCTAAGGACATTTGCCCAAAATCCGGGGCTAGCTGGGTTGGTACGGCTATGATTATAATAACATAATTCACGCCTACACACAATTAATTTATATAATAATATTATTAATTATGAATTTTAAAATTGTTATGTTTGATTGGTTTTTACAGTAGGTACAATTATATACTATATAATAGCTGTCGACTGTCAATTTTTTTGCCGACTGTAGTAAGTTGCGTCCCAATGTACCTTCTTGACGTAAATCGCGTCCTTTTATATTTTCAAATTAAAATGTACGCCAATATTTCACCTTCCCAGACTTAGCACTGTCAGTCAATATTACTGTTATTACTTACAATATCGGTATGGTTAGAAACATTGTTTTTTGTATTTTGTATTTTGTTTTAAAATAAAAATATGTATTTATATTCATGATAATTTTATGGATAAAAATTCGAACGACAGTAAATTCAGTTTGAGTTGTTATTAATTTATTATTTGTTATAAGTCTATAATGCTAATTATAACTTCATTGACAACTTTTTATCTTTAAGGACTCTCTGTCGGACACAAATTTTATAAACACGCCCGCAACTTGCGTATGTTGTTTTCTGGAACATTTTTATCGGAACGCAACTTATATTTATATGCAATAATATTCATAATTCGGAATAAAATGCACCTCACGAATTTTATTTTATTATTTTTTTAAAGACATTTTTTCCAATACTTATTTCAAACTGTTTTGAATATTTTTGCGGAAACCATTATTTCTGATTTTTGGAAGTTATAGCCTTCCAAAGTTTGCAACTTTACGTTTATACGCATGCGCGTTGGTGTTACACTACTTACTTATTCTTGAATAATAATAATAAAATCCAAATTAATTTTGCAATTGAACATTTTTAAAAGATTTAAACTTGGTATTATTACAATATTTAAATAAGAATTTATGAATTATTAACTATGTAGGTACTCGCTATTGCACTGCCGGGATAGACTAAATAAAATATTTAATTATGGTACAATGTATAGACGTATATATAGTATATATAGATTAGATCATATTCTATAATTACAGTATTTATTTTATTATATTGATCGTAGTAAGTGCCTATAGTTATATTGAAATTTTTATATTATTATTATCAAATTGGGATATTTAAAAAAAAAATCATATTTGTCCATTTTAATAAATTGGTTTTCGTTCAATATTTATACCAATAGTTATAATTATCTTTTATTAGGTTTCTACATTTTATATTATTATTATGCATATTAAATTATCTTTATGGTAAATGATAATTGAATGAGCTATAATAAGTTACGTTGCAATAAATTATCTTCAGATAGACAACAGGGCACAGGCCATAAAGAGTTTATTGAAACCTTGTCATGTTAAAATAGAATAAGTAAATTCTAGGTATATAGTGGCTCTTTTCGCTAAACTCAAAGTCCTCCACGTAACAAGTTAAGTTTCGCGGATGTGTGTTAACATAAAATCGCAAACTTTAGAAGGCTGTATCACCTAAATATAACTTTCGAAATGATGATTTTCGCAAAAAAATTCAAAATTTTTCGAAATCGGCGTTGAAAAACACGTCTTTAAAAAAAAAAAACCAAATAAACAAAAATAACGTTCTTAACTTTAAATGTTATAAGAGGTCAATTCGCTTTAATTTTTCAAGTAACGAAGCTAAACGTGATCTGCTTACTGCTAACCGTAAATTTGCTATGTTACGCACTTGTAAGACGAAGACAACACATGCAGGAATAGTGTCCTCTTAATAAGTAGATAGTTCTTGAAGAGTTTCAACGGTAGTTCTAAACAGAAAAAACACGATCCTCGTAAATCCCTGGAAATACAGAGCTTATAAGAAAAAACGAGGTGATCTAGAGGTAGACAGCAGTTTAAAAGAATGATTAGCAAATTACGTAACATAGTTGTTTTTAAGAATTTGTTAATTTGCGTTTGCATTTTGCAAAGACGTGATTAACCGAACAATAATAAATACCATAGAAATTCCAGCTGATTGTTTATGATTTTTACCAGTAGAAGTTGTGAAACTATTTAATATTCATAAACAGTGGCGTATTTAAGGTTTTTCCGCCTCTAGGCACTTTCCAATTCACCGCCTTCCTCCCACCTCCATCCTTCCTACAATTATTTCTAAAACGTATTTAAATATACAATTTATTATATTAAAAAAGATACATTGAGATATATGTAGATATACTAGTATGATTAATTTTGAGCGAACAAAAATTAGTTGAGTTTGATTTCATCAAATGAAAAATACTTTTTCTAATTTTGTAAAAAAAAATTGTTGAAATTTGCCGCCCTCCAATGTTGCCGCTCTAGGCCCGGGCCTATAGGGCCTGTGCCTAAATACGCCTCTGTTCATAAATCATAAATATTAAGGTAGAATGTTAGTTATGTTATAAATATTAAAAATTCGAAAACGTGTGTTATATTAGGTATTAGTTATGAATTGTTAAACAATGTACACAAAAAACACAACTTTGGCCTTTGCCCCTTGGGGGATAGCTCATTTATTTTGATGTCATACGACAGAATATTTATTTTGGTTTTTAATTCAACACAAATTTTTGAACAATCATATTTTAATAAATTTGTTAGAATATAATACAGAAAAAATACAAGGTGATGGGTTCCACTGTTGGGTAGTGACGTAATTCAAATGACCTACTCCTGCATCGAACTTACGTCTTTTCAGCAGCAACGCTAAAGCAATAATTCCGTTACATTTTATTTAAATTAACGCAATTGTGACGAGATTACTTTTAAAAAGTAAAATGTTGATCAAATCGTGATCTACATTTTGTATCCGCCGCGATTAATTTTTCTAAAATGTGGGACTATAGAGTTAAAAAGCAGAAGTTGGAAAGTTCCTGTTTTCTACATCATCTACATAGGTAGTAGAAAACCTTTACTATCACATTGTACAAGACACGTTTTATAGTGGTTTACAACGGTTGATTTTCCTACGATTTCCGACAGCAGTGCCTCGTCGTAAAAAATATGCATGATAATTTAAAAAAGGTTTTTTTTTTTTCTTGCAGATAAAATGGCCGACAGCGTACCCGTGTCGGATGTCGTTTGTGTCGACGACATGGGCAAGGCCAGAGTCATGGAACCCGTGTTGGCGGACAAGGTGGCCGATTTGAGGGACCGATGCGCGGAATTCACGAGCGGTAACCGCGGGACGGACGGACGGCGGCGGTGACCGGGAAATCGAAACCTAACCACTGTTTATTTGCACAGATATAGAGCTGTACCGCGAGTCGGTGGACACCTTCATCGGCGTCATGGACCATCTGGCCAAACAAGTGGAGCGGGAAAAGCGGGAAGCGATCGTCGTGTCGAACAAGCTGGCGTCGTTGCCCAACAAGGCTGAAGAAGAAATCGCCAAGTTACAAGTAACGCGTGGGCCCGGGGGGGTCAATATTGATTTGCTTGCCGAACTGCGTTTAACTGTTTTACCTTTTTTTTTTTTCATCCCCAATTGCAGTCGCAAATCGAACAAAAAACCACGGAACTCGAACGCTACAAGATCGAGCACAGGTCGCTGCAAAAAATCGAATCCGATCAAACGGATTTAATAAATCGATTATCGTTTCAGAACTAAACGGTTTTCGATTACGTTTCACATAGCATATTATATGAGTCTTATTAGATTCATTTATAATCAATGGTAATTAATAATATAATGTCATAATAATGAATAATGATACAGTTGAACAGCAATACACTGATATTATTTTAATTTTTTTTTTATTGTTTAATGATTAATCAAATTATTCCTTAACTATAAAATAATGCTTAAGCATAAAAATAATTATGGTAAATGCGTTTTTCATAATACATAATAAATAATATCATAAACATTGTATAGTATAAAAAAGAATAATCTGTGTATGATAAGTATTTATGTATAAATATATGAATTTTTTTTTTCATCAGTACCTGGTTTTCACAACAAATTTGAAAATACAAATTATCATCAATATATAGGTAAAATAAAAAAAAATTATTCGTTTTTAATTTTATCTACACTTCCACGATTCTGTATAAAATGTAACAAATACAAAAAAAAATAAATAAAATAATAATAATAATAATAATAATAATAATGATAATAATAATAATAAGGAATGTGTAGCACATTAAATTACTGACGAGTAATATGTAATTTGAATATAAATATAAAAATGTAAATGGCATTAATGTTTTTATTATTATATGGTTAATGATTAATATATATAAATAATTATTATTGTTAGATAAGAAATTATTTTGTACAAACACAAAATTTTTTTTAAAAAAACATAAAATAATTATAAATAAATAATAAATAATAACAGTTTTTGTTCACGGAAAAACAATGGGTGTTGCAATACATGCTTTCCAGAATAATTTCAAAAATAATGTCAGAAGTGACAATTTTTATTTGGTGACAAATTAAATTTTTAAAGTATACAGTTTATATAAGTACAATACAATAGTTGAGGGTATTTTCGAGGGGGGTCATGTTTCTGGTTAAAACTATAATTTAAAAAATTCGGTTTCTTTTTGAGCCTTGTTTTTTTTATTTTGTTTTCATGGACCTGAAAAATTAATAAGTTATTATGATACGAGTTATAATTGATGATTACATTTTAGAGATTAAACAAATACGATCAGTCTAAAAACTACATTCTGATTTTCATTATTAATGATTAAAAATAGCGTTTTATTTTATTGTACATGCTATCATCCAATTATTATAGTTCTAACGATTTCAATGCTTGTAAAAAGTATTTGTGTGTTACTCAATAAATGTCATCACTCATCACTTATTTCTTATCATTTGTTTTCTTTTCTCCGTGGTGAATTAAAAATATACCATATCAATGGAATATATTAACTGCTTATTTTTTTTTATGTATAACTTATAATTTATAAATCAAAAAACTCATAAATCAAATAATCACCAATATTAATTTTGAGTGAGACAGTAGTTATACAAATAACTACACAAATTGGTAATACTAGGTATTAATTAAAATTTAAAAGAAAGGAATTAGTCTGGAATTGAAAATTAAACTATAATTAGATAGTGTGCTAGTACATTCATTGTTAATATTAGATTATATTCAAAAATAATAATTATTAATTATCAGTATAATAATATACAATAGAATAAAATATTGATTTTGGATTGTTATTTTAAACTAAAACAAACAGCTGCATTCAAACATTTTGTATATTATTTTCACCATATGTTGATATTGCTAAGCAAAAACCAAAAGTAAAAATATATTATTATCATAGCCCAAAAATATACAAATAGCAATCAAATATATTTTATTTTTAAATTTCAAAAATATTTTGAACATAGCTGTTGTAGAGATAATGCGAGGGTACAGATTAATTACTACACTTTCCCATGCGTTTAACGTGGGAAAAAAACAATGGCTTATGTACAAATTAAAAATATTTAATTAACCTTGAGATGACTGTAAAAATCCCAATTTAAATTTTGAATATTGTTCATAAATAAGCCAATGTTTTAACAAGAAGGAGTTAAATTAGTGAGTCGGGAACTAAGAGGTGGTTGTTCATGTGCATTCCCTACATACCATTATTTATTTATTTTTTTGATTGAAAAGTAATAAATCTTGAAAATTTAGCGAGACCACATATCTTCGGCACCTAAATATTGTAATATTAATTCACGCCATCTACTTGACCATGAGAAGAGTATAATGCTATAGTTTTATTCTAATTATACTCGTAATTTACTGTTATTGCTTACCAAGAGAATTTGTATCATTCGATCCATTGTTCGACTCCAGCGAATCATCTAGAGAACTTCCGTGGACTGTCGATAAATCATCAATTGTTGATCCTCGTTTAGTACCAGTAGCACCTATTCTAGATGTTGTGGTCACTCCAGTTCGCCTAAAAAATATATATATTATACCGTTTTTTCAAAAAATATATTAGAATGCATTAATAAGAACCTGAGTTTGCTTCTCAAATTATTGTTCTCCCTGGATATTGATTCATTGGATTCCAATAGTTCATCGAGATCGCGTTGAATTTTTCGTTTCTGGTGTTTCTCTCTGCTGATTTCTTCTTCTGCTTCTTCAATTTGCCTTTTTAAGGATTTAACTCTGGCATTGCTCTAAAAAAGACAGTTTCACGTGGTAACGATGTTCTTGATAAGGTTTGATAAACATACCTTTTCAACTTGTTCCTTGTATTGTTCAATTGTTCTCCTCTCATCTTCTAACTGCATCATTACTTCTTTCATTTTCTTTTCTAATTTGCGATTAGCTTTCTGTTGCAATTGTCTTTCCCTAATCATTGAAAATTACCATTAGTAACAACAATACGTAAAAATTCCTTTTAATCAATCTAGGGGAGGTTAGGTTACATACTTGGCTTCAGATTCCAGCTGTTCGTCGAGATTGGCAATCTTAGATTCCAAGTTAGAAATAGCAGTTTTAGTTTTTACACGTTGATTGGTTTCAATTTCTGCTAATTTGGCCTTTAGTTCTTTGTTTTGTCTGTCGAATAACATTTTATTTGTCTCCAATTTCTGTGTTGTTGCTCGTTCATTTGCCAAGTCTAATAAAAATTATAATTGATGAAATATTTTTGATGAAATACAAAAGTTATAATTAATTTACCTGAATTCAACTGTTCAATCTGAATTAGAGCTTTTCTAATTCGTTCATTCAAAGCTTCTGACATTGTCTGTTCTTCTTCTAATTCTTCTTCCAACGTAGATATTCTTGCTTCCAAGCGACGCTTTTCATCAACCATTAATGTACTGCTAACAAAATAAAATTAAAATTAAAAATCATTCAAAATTTGAATCAAAAATAATAAAAATACAAACCCTTTGTTGGAATTGCTGTTCATTTCTTCGTGCAGATCATCACGTTCACTTTCTGCAACACGTCTAGCTCTTTCAGATGCAGACAACTCTTCTGTCAACAACAGTAACTCAGCTTCTACAGATTTCAATTTGCGTTCAGTTTCTTTAGATGTTGCCGAAAGCTCATCGCGAGAAGCTCTAGCTTCTTCAGCATCACGGGTAGCATCTTTCAATTGAACTTGTAATTTCTTAAGTTGCTTCAAAGCATCTTCCTTTAATTTGTTGTGCATGTCTAACTGTTGTTCTAAATCTTTGTAATCAGCTTCGATTTTCTTGCGACCGGCCATTGCAGTAGATCTTTGCTTACGTTCATCTTCTAGTTCAGCTTCAATGTCACGAATTTGCTTCAGAAGTCCTCTACGTTTTTCTTCACTCTGCTCTTCTTTGGCCTAAAAGTTTAAAATTTATCTAATTAACACAACTTAATTTAATGACTTATAGTAGCTATAATTTATATTAGCTATGGGCCTATGAACATCAAAGAAAAAGAGAAATAGGAATCGGAAACTTACCAAAGCAAGTTAGATATAAATTAGCATTCATTTAAGGTATTTTCATAAATTACTTACAACAAGATCACGTTCAAACTGAGCCCTCAATGCTTGCATGTTCACTTCAAGTCTTAATTTAGCATCTTCAGTGATTTGAAGTTCATCCTCCAAATCTTCATTCTGTACACGTATTTCAGCCAATTGTGATTCTAATATTCGTTTAGCTTTTTCCAATTCATGAACCTAGGAAAAAATTAATATTTAATTTTCATTTCAAATATGTAAACAAAAAATGTACAAACATTTTTGTCAGCTGTTCCTTGACTGTTTATCAATTCATCCAATTCATTTTGTAGCGTTCTCTTTCCTCTTTCCAATTCTTCAACTTTCACCATCATTTCATCAAGCTCTCTGGTTAAAGAAAGCACACGTGTTTCCTTTTCACGAGCTTCTCGTTCAGCAGTATCACGTTCAATAGCCATTTGTTCAGAAACCGCCTAGTTTAAGTATTTACAAAAATTATATGAAATATTATATTATAAAAAGTAATAAATCAGAGTAAATCTAATAATCCTATTTTTATTCTTATTTCATTACCTTTTCCTCGGCAAGGGTTTTATCAAATATTCTTTGTTTCTTTTCGAGTTCGATAACCTTGGAGCGCTGAGCTTCTAAATCAATATTAATGTCATCTAGTTCTGATTGAAGTTTCTTCTTTGACTTTTCCAATTTATCATTTGTTGCTTGCAATTCTTCAATTTGTCGTTGTAACAATTCAACATCCTAAACAAAATATATGTTAATACACTTGTTTATCTAATATAATATAGTAATTATATAATATACCTTAAAGGCTTTCTTATAAGCAGCTTCCATCGCAGCAGTTGCTTCAGCATCATCTTCCATTTTTTTCCTGATTTCAGTTATTTGTAAATTAAGAGCAACTATTTGTTTTTCCATGTTTTTCTTGGACTCTTCTTCTTCTTCCAATTGTTCTTGTAAAATTTCTTTTTCGCTTTCAATTTGTTTCAGTTTTGAGTTTAATGACAATTTAAATTTGGTTTCTTCTTCTAGAAGTGCCTAAGACAAAATAAAAATAATTAGCCTAAAAAGAAGAATTGAATTGAAATCTATTTTTAAATACCTGTGTTTCTTGCAACTGAGTTTCCATAGTTGCTGCTGATTTTTCAGCAGCAGAAGCTTTGAGTTCAGCCGCTTCCAACTGACTAACAATGGATTCAGATTCATTGCTAAGTTTAGTAAGTCTATCGATATATTCATTTTTCGAACGTTCAGATTCAGCAAATTTACTTT